AATGTTGGATGTTTTAGTATTAAGCAATAATTGAATTATTTAAAATTGAATTTACAACACTGGTTGATACAGAACTGTTATACATTCACCACATATAGAAGATACTCACTAAATACTTACACTATTAGTACCTAAATGAACACTCAATACGAATAGAACACGAAGAGACAGTACCTACATGAATTCCTAGGTATGATAGACAGATAACGAAACAGTGAATTTAGTTAGCCAACCGATAGCAAAAGAATAAAGGCAAAAATATATACGCGTGCGCTTTACAAACCCGTGCAAATAAAGTGTATTAAACTTTGGTCCCAAAATAAAGTGTTTGGAAGTGGAATTGGTTCAGTTCTATTGCATTTGTGGAAGGAAAGGAAACAAGAGGAGCAAAAGGATACCTAGGATATTCGGAAAAGGATCGGAATTGGAAGGATAAATAGTACGATTCTGGAAAAACACACAACGTAGGATCTAAGGTACATAAGGTGGCTTACAAGGTGTATATTTGGAGCACGGAAAGGCAAACGGAGTATTCAGCTCAACCAACGAACCTAAATCCCCCAACATTCTGCTCAATAGATACTTTCTAAGCCTCGCCCCATTCATAAAAACGGCGGGAAAGTATGTTTTTGTGAAGAGGAAGTAAAAAAGGAAGGACTTTGGATGTTGATCTACATGCATATATAGTAAACCAGATTGTTTCCGATAGATGTCACCACATACAACAGCAATGAAATCTTGACTAAATGGTTAATTGAAACACAGCCTCAGGGATCAAATAAAAATTGTTTCAGCTTGACTTCTGAAAGTCATAAGAAAGAACTGTATTAGGTTTAGTTTCATCATCATAATTACAAATTAGGGGTTGTTTATTAACTACGTAGTCAGTTTGTGGGGGGGGGGGGGCAATAAACCCTAAAAAAAAATCTACGTAGTTAATAAACAGCCCCTTATGAGAGCTATTTTTACAAAATAAAGTTTTTTTAAGCTATATCATAGAGAGTTTTAGATTACAAAATAAAAGATTTTTGAAACAAAAGTTGCCTGATCCGCAACATTTTATTTCCGCACAAAACGAAACCAATTAGTTACATTCAATACCTGAAACTAACTCTTTTTCCTATAAGAACGATGAATTTGATCAAGTTTCTTCAGTGCGAACAGAAGTTATTGGGTTATAGCCATTCTACTTTTGAGTATATCTCAGCGCAAAAATCAATTTTTTAACCAGGTTTTAGAGGAGATAATGGCTTTGGAACTTCTTTACCTTTTATCGTCAGGGGATAAATGAAGTCTCTCTGGAACATAATGCACCTACTAAAGTAACTTTATAAATATCCTCAAGCTTCGAACGAGATTACACGAATCTTAAAAAAGAACTTTGTTCTAAAAGATGTCAAAAATTGCATAATGAAAAATTATCATAAGAATGCCCTTCGACAAAAATACATATAAAATTAAATCTTTAAAATTTGTCGAACCTCTTAACGGAATCCCTTTATGAAGAGCCAACACACTCACAGCTCTTCATAAAATTTAATGCAATGCGTTTACCATATCCATGTCACCAAACATGGTTATGAAGCATGATTGTTCCTTACATATAATGTAATTTAATTTGGCTGACTTGAAGAAAATGGGCATGATTCCCCCCCCCCCCCCCCCATGCACGGCCTTGACTGAGCTTTCCTCACTGTCGTATCAGATTCGAATGTACATTGTTGCTTCTGGAGCAATTTCCAGTCATCGCCTACGTCATCTACATCACCAACATTTCGCATGCTCTGTGGCAAATGAATAAACATAAATAAATAGCAAATGAGCTCCATGGCGCGCGGCAAGGCCATGATGAATTATTCCGAAAACAAGCTTCCATGTAGCATAGCCATACATGTGTATGTGTGTGTGTGTGTGAGCTTTGGAGAAGCCAAGTTCATCGGTCAAACCGCAGGCGATTATTTCTCACTTGGGAGATGCTCGTTTTGCGGTCGGAGTTGGGTTGACTTTCATCGTGCGTCATAAGCTGAATAGGAGAAATCTTATGCCTTGCCTGCCAAATACCAACCAACGCTCGGATGAACGCTGCTTGCAAATCATATTTGATTGAATCAAGTAAATTGACAAGAAAAACACAATTCCCCCCCCCCCCACTGCAGGACTGATCGAATAAAGCTCCGCTCCGCTCACCCGTGTTCGATTCAGGCTTGGTGGTTTGGTGATTGTTCGCATCGTGCTGTTTGATTAGAAGCGGGCAGATGAATACAGTGGATGTGCCGTTCGACATCTGCATCTGCTTCCCGGAATGTTCAAATATGTATTCATCGCGACTGGAACAGGACTGCAAGGATCGTCTGACGATCGGCCGCCGCGCGCTGGGTGGTGAAGGCAAGCAGGCAATTTGTGTATAGAGTGTTTGCCTATTTTCCGGGTCACGTACTCGGTTGTTGCCGACAAAGCCGTAGAGCCCAGCTGGTGTTATGTTCTTTGCTGCTGCTGTTGCAGTTTTCCCTCGGATTTGAACTGGGTGCGAGAGTAGCAATGTGATGGGGATTATACTGACTACTGGAACGGAACACGCGAGGAATACAGTATGCTTTTCTATGCTCACTTTGCGTTTGGGATGGCACTTTTGCAAGATTTGTACCAACCGATCGAACATTTAGCAATAGGAAAATTTACCTACCCCCGTCTACTTGGGTGTTGTGTTATCAGCTATCTAGTGTCATCTTATCATTGCCTTTTAAAATGTCGTATTAATCGTTTCCACCAGCTGAAATTTGATCACCCCTACATTACCATCACCAGCAGCATTTTCCCAGCCAGCAGTCAGTGTGCCAGCGTGTAGCAAAGGACATTCAAGATCCCGAAATCAGCTCAGGCATCCCCAGTTCCGAACCCGGAGCCTGTCGTACAGGGGCGCACGGCAAACAGCAGCCAGTGTAGGGATCTAGCGCTTTTGCTCTGCCTTTGCTCCGAGGTATACGGTCGTGCCGTTAGCTTTCGGTGTAGATACACTTTGGTGTAGTATATTGATATGTATGTTGTAGGTACCGAAACATTCCTCCTGTTCGATGGAAGCCAGAAACGGGCAGGAACGGGCTACACAAAGCCGGACATCGGAAAGGCTTGAGCGGCTTAACTATTCCGGAAGTGACACGTTTGCTTGCTTTGCTTGCTTGCTTGCTTGCATGTTTGGATGTGTTAGCTGTTAGCTACTCCGGACGGTCATCGTTTTCGGTTCCAAACATCAACCAAACATGCTATCCATAATTTAACACCCTCAGCTCGGTTGCAACGATGGAGATGTTCTGTTCGTGTTGTTCGTTTAAGTTGCTGTCGGAGGCATTCCGCAGCGCCTTATAATCTCCGCTGTTGCCGAATGGGAAGTCAGATACCCCTTCAGGACGACGGGTGATAAAGGGGGGAGGGTACTTTTACGTTTATTTGCATCCAATTATGAAACTCGGATAGTGTGGAGACTGTTGAAGTTGGATGTTTTCTATTGGAGATCTTTCCGTAATTAACTGAAACTTCCTGCACTGGTAAAATGCGAAGCCACTATGTTCTATCTTCATTTTTTTATTTTGCTAGAACCAACCAACTTAAATGAGAAAAATTACTCAGACTCTCAGGCTGCTGCAGAGACGATGTTAAATAAGAGACGCACGAAGAATTAAACCAAAAGTTCCAATCGAACCTTCATTGACATTGCATTTCTCTCCGATGTGATTGCTCTGGTCTGTAAAATTAGGGTTCTCATCAGTGATGGAAAAGTTCATCGAAGTTCCCTATGACTCGCGAACTTTTCCCTTGGTGAACTTCGTGAAATATCGCGAACTTTTCCAACACTGGTTCTCATTAATGGTCATCTTTCTTCTTCTTTTGCAATCGAAAGGTCTGTGAGACAAGGATATCCATTGGTTACACACTACGAAAAAGACATGTAAATTTCAGTGCCCTGAGACCGACACATGCAAGCGGCCCTTTTGACATAAGAATCAGTTGAAAAGGACGAGAAAATCAATTCAATCAAACGCACTTTTCGTCGAGCTGCATATGTTTCAGTTTCAGGATACTTAATTTTACATGCCATGTTTGTTTACGTTCCATGATTTACGTCCAAGCTGAATTACGTCTCGTGTAAAAATAATAATTTCTAAGTGTGTATGCATTAACAGTCTTGATTCCTATAGTACGGATTCGTTCTCGCCTGATTCCTATAGTTTGGTTGCCACTGGATTCCTATATTTAATACGGTCGATCCGGCATTAACGCATACACGTACCATATGGGGCTAATCGGGACCAAACACTGATTGTACGGCAATTTGACGAGATAACTTCCTGATGTCTTTGAAGAAGTTGTTAAGCAAAAAGGTATCAATGTAACGTTACTGTCAAAACCACCAGTTGATATTTTGAATACTCAATCCAGGCAGAACCAAACTGGTACTAAACTGAAGGGAGAGTCAATGAAACCTCTAAGTGGGTGTAAGAATCGTCCTGGTCGTTGACGGCCGGGTGTTTTCTCACCTGTCGAGAGAAGGACCAAAATGTAAGAATCGTCCTGGTCGTTGACGGCCGGGTGTTTTCTCACCTGTCGAGAGAAGGACCAAAATGTAAGAATCGTCCTGGTCGTTGACGGCCGGGTGTTTTCTCACCTGTCGAGAGAAGGACCAAAATGTAAGAATCGTCCTGGTCGTTGACGGCCGGGTGTTTTCTCACCTGTCGAGAGAAGGACCAAAATGTAAGAATCGTCCTGGTCGTTGACGGCCGGGTGTTTTCTCACCTGTCGAGAGAAGGACCAAAATGTAAGAATCGTCCTGGTCGTTGAAGGCCGGGTGTTTTCTCACCTGTCGAGAGAAGTTCGTGTCCAGGCTATTTGTTGGGGAAGGAATTTCAGTTTATCTCTAGTCAACTAACTTTTTCACTCTGAACAAATTTTTTACTATTTTCTCACACCCGCTTGCCCCGATCGTTCTTTTGTTGCTATGGTTACGCTCAGGGGTGGCCTGACGGTTGACGGCGAGACGACTGCGATACCCGAGTAGAAAAGTTCGGACTGGCAGTGTTAGCAACATTCTCCGGGCCAGGAACCGAGCTGATTGCCTGGAGCAGCACAACCTTGCTTACAGGTCTTTTGTAGGTCGACTTTGATGTCCGCACTGCAACTGTTCTCACCTTTCCATCCGGTCCTTGGTAGATCTTCTCTACAACTCCTTTCGGCCAGCTTCCTCGGTGTAGCGATTCGTCCACTATCATCACTAGATCACCGACGTGATAATCGTGGTAATTCCTGCTGTCCGGCCACTTGCGGCTTCTGATCAACTCCGGACGGAACGAGGCTATCCACCTGCGCCAGAAACGATCCGCGTAAATCTGAGAATGCTTGTAGGCAGCACGACAGTTAAGATCTCGTTCATCAAAATTATGGTCGAACTGGATTGAATTGTTTCGGCCAAGCAGCAACATGTTTGGAGTTATCGGTTCAGGGTCCAGGGGGTCATCCGGAACGTGTGTCAAAGGTCTGTTGTTTACGGTGTTCATTGCCTCGCATAAAGCAGTACGCAGCACCAAGTCCGTAGGGTGCCTATCCCGTAACATTGCACGAAGGGCAGTCTTCACAGAGCGTACTAAACGTTCCCAGCAACCTCCGAAATGAGGAGCACCAGGTGGAATAAACTTCCACTTAACACCTCTGACGCTCAGCGAATCTTCAATCTGCGGCTGATCCAGAGTTCTCACCAGTTTCTTCAGTTCAGCATCTGCACCAGTAAAGTTGGTACCGTTGTCGGTCATGATGCACTGTGGTAAGCCACGGATGGACATGAAGCAGCGGATGGCCATTATGCAGCTGCCCGTGTCTAAAGATGGCACGACTTCAAGGTGTACAACTCTTGATGTCATACACGTGAACAATACTACCCACCTCTTTTCAACACGACGACCAACTTTTACAGACAACGGTCCAAAATAATCAATACCCGTACATGTAAACGGGAACACGAACGGGGTTGTTCTTTCCGGTGGTAGGTTTCCCATTTGCGGAACGGTCGGTTTTGCTCTAAGCTCACGACACTTGACACAGGACATCGTGTACTTCTTTACCTGTGAGCGAATCTTCAGGATACGGTGCCGTTCCTTGATATTGTTAACAACGGTTTCCATTCCTTGATGTGCGTTGGCGATATGGTACATACGAATCAGTAGAGTTGAAAACTGGTGGTTGTCAGGAAGAATCACAGGATTGTTCACTTCAAACGACTTTCCATCATCCTGCACACGACCTCGCATACGGATGATTCCGTTTTCCAGAAACGGCGAATATGTTTTCAAACGACTATTGCTTTTCACGAATCCGGTCTGCTTCAGACTGCGCAACTCTTCACAGAAAATTTGCGACTGTACCTTCCTGTACCAGGCACTCTTAGCTTCATCCATGTCGTTCACGGAGATTGTCAAATATCTAGGCTTTTTACACTTTGGCAGTGCTAAAATCTTTCGCATTTTCAGGTAGTACGCAGTAGATCTAATCAAGCGATTGCAATCAGAGAACCTCTCAATATCGGGAAGGTCAACTAACTCAACTTCAACCACGGTACAACACATCGGATCCACGGAAACGTCAGCAATCACTTCCATATGGAAATTTATCAACTCAGACGAGGACATCTCTAGCGGTTCATTGTTCGGCCAATGGACACTATCCCGATACAGAAAGTCAGCACCTTTCAACCATTCCTGCATACAACCAAACTTGGAGGACTTCGTAGCCAAATCAGCTACGTTCAGCTGTGATGGAACCCAATGCCACAGATCAACTCCATGACCATTCTCCTTAATTTTCATGACACGAGAACCAACATATGCCGTGAGCTTCTGACTCGTCTTCAACCAACTCAAGCAGATTTTAGAATCGGTCCAGAAGTACTGCATATTCACTTCTATTTTTAGTTCGTCTTGAACTACCTTCATCATTTGACTTGCAAGAACACACCCTTGAAGTTCAAGTCGTGGTACCGTCGATGATTTCAGTGGAGCAACTCTTGCCTTGGCATACACCAATGCAACGTGTGACTTACCGTTTCGACGATGAACCATGTAAATCACACATGCAAAAGCCTTATCGCTTGCGTCACAGAAAGCATGCAGCTCAGCATCGGCAAAGGACGATACCTCCGGGAAGTAGCACCTCGCAACACGTATTTCTTCCAGCTTAGCAGTTTCGCTCAACCACTCCATCCATTTCGGGACCAGGCTATCAGGAATTTCGTCGTCCCATCCGGATTGCAACCGCCACAGTTCTTGGAACATAATCTTCAGGTGTATCGTAATCGGACTGAGTAAACACAATGGATCGAAGATGCTCATCATAAACTTCAGCAGCTGCCGTTTGGTAGGCACCGTGCCACCAGTACGGAAGTTCTCATCCAGTTTTGGAAAATCCAACGGGAACACAAATTCATCTGAAAGAAGATCCCACCTGATACCGAGTACACGAGTGTCACTTCCTTTCTTCTCGGCTACTAAAGAAGGGTCAAGCGAATCCAGAAGAGTTTCAGAGTTCGATGCAAATTTCACCAGTTTGAATCCTCCGTGATCATGTGCCTTCACCACTCGCTGCACCAGTTCAATGGCTTCTTCCTCCGTGTCCACGCAATCAAAATAGTCATCGACGTAGTGTTGTTCCAGCACAGCTCGTTCAACGCCAGGGTACTTTTCTTCCAGTTCCTTTGCATTGAAGTTTTTGATGAATTGTGCCATCGAAGGAGAAGACACAGCGCCAAATATCATCACCATCATAATGTATACGCTGGGGGGGCTAGAGCGATCCATACCACGGAAGAAGAAACGCTGGGAGTCCTGATCCAATCTACGAATGATGACTTGATGGAACATCTCTATAATGTCTGCCACAAAAGCAATCTTCTTCTTCCTAGCGCGCATCAGAATCGCAATCAATGCGGGAACGAAATCAGGACCTTTCAGTAGCAGATCGTTCAACGAAAATCCGTGAGATTTGGCCTTGGCGTCCATAACCAATCGGAACTTATCGGCAGTTACCACGCTGAAGTGAGGCAAATGCCAGGTGTTCGGTGTTTCAGCAAGTTCTTCAGGCTCCAGTTTTCGAGCATATCCCTTCTCCACGTAGTCCTGGATCTTACTACAGTATTTCTCAGCGAAATCAGGATCGGAATCCATCTTCTTCTCGGTGATTTGAAGTCGACGCAGTGCATGTGGCTTGCTATCCGGAAATGCGAAGTTATTGTACTTGTAGATCTGTCCTACCTCAAAGCGTTCTCCTCGTCGCGTGATTGTACGGTTCATAATATCCAGTGCACGTTGATCTTCGTCTGGTATCTTCGGGGACTGACCAGTGATGCCAAAGTCTTCCACCTTGTACATCTGCTTCACCAGATCCGTTAGCTCGGTGTCATCGTCTTCAGAACACATCAGGAAAGCATGATGATCGTTTGATCCAGCAGCGTTCGGTTCAATTACTCCGTGAATCGTCCAACCCAGATGGCACCGAGTCAACTGCAAACCGTTCAGTGAGTATTGCACCGTCTTCAGGGGTACAATCAGACCAGCGTTGTTCGAACCAATCAGCATACAGGGACGAGCATCTTGTATCGCAGCCAGTTTATCCTCATCCAACATCGGGTACAACAGCTTTACTCTGTCAACGTCAAATTTAACCCGTGGCAAGTCGATGCTCTGCACCGTGCGAATATTGTTTGCCACGAACCATTTCGCTTGTTCCGACGGTCCAGAGATTTGGAAAGATAACATCATGGAATGTTCCTCCTTGTGTGAAATGCCGTTAGTCCATCTATAATTCACGGAAGAGATCGGCCCTTGCATTCCAATCCTCGTCGCTACAGCAGCATCCATCATCGAGAGAGAAGAGCCTTCATCAAAAAGGGCAAACACTTCCTCGACGGCATTCGGACCACGAATCTTCACTTTTCCCACTCGGAGCAGTGTGTTGACGTTTTTACCGTTCACGTTACATACGTTCATCTGACTGTCTTGAGTATCCGGTCGGCGAGACGCGGTGGTCATTGGAAGTTCATCATTATGGACCAGTTCGTGATGATTCTTCTCACAGATCGAACACTTCTTCTTGGATTTACAGTTTCTTCTTGTGTGATCCGCGCTCAGACAGGTGTAGCAGACCTTGCAAGAATTAGCAGCAGACCGACGTTGAGCAACAGATAACTTGCGGAATTGCTCGCACTTCTCCAAACTAGCATGCGATCTTGACGAGCATAGCGGACACTTCGCTGTCTCTTCCGCCTCACGACTGTTGACGTTGAGAACAATCTGCTTCGGCTTCAGTGAGAAGTTTGATTTCTTGGCACTGAAGACAGGATTTAGACTTGCGAGTTGATTGTCCATCTCATCCTCCAACCAGCGAGAAAAAATGTTGAAGTCGATTACGACATCTTCCTTCATCAAAGCGGCCTTGTGTCGAACCCACATCTGCTTGCTGAATGCAGGCAGTTTTTCAGTCAGGTGTGAGATGAGTTCCGGATTCATCAAGTAATTATCCGTCTTGACATTCTGCATCGCAACCTTGGTTCCAATCACCGCGTTGTAGAAAACACGAAAGGACTCGATGTTTCCCTCCTTGATGCTCTCCAGGTTTCTCAGTGTTTCCAATCTATTCGCCACCACCCATTCCGTGCGTCCAAAGTTAGATTTCAGCATCCTCATGATCTGCTGTACATTATCAGGAGATGAAAGCAATGATTCCACGGTCTTGCGCGCTTTACCTTGCAGCGACTTATTCAACCGCCTCAGGTTATCGCGATCGGTCAGCTTAAACTCTTCAGTGGACGTTTTGAATTCGCTCTCAAAAATCGTCCACTCCATTACGTCACCAGAAAACGAAGGCAGGTCTTTTACGTTTCGACTCTGCAACGCCTTGAAAGCCTGAGACAAGATTTCATTCACTCCTGGCTCAGGAGCAGTTACATGATTTCTAGCTCCAGGTTCGTGAAATAATGGTCGGGCCAATTGGTTAGACGGCTCAATGTTTGCATTATCTGTCTTCATTTTATCTGATTCAGACAGCCATTTGCAAACACGTCTCGATGTACTGGTGCACGCACTCGATCTGCTGGAGATGCTCGAGTCGTGACTTGAACCAGACCTCAGTTCATTCTTCTTCGATTCGCGTTCATGCTTTCGCTTTAGGAATTCCACTTTCCTCTGTTCCGTCTTCAGCGCTAGATCTTGTTGAATTTGCAACGCAGCCAGTTGCTTTTCAGCCAGGATCCTGTCTCGTTCGATTGAAGCCTTTAGTTCTTCTTCCTCAATCTGCTCCTCCAACAACAGGGCTCTGAGTTGGCTATCAGCTTCGCTGATTTTGGAAGACCGGCTTCTACTTGAACGTCGATCAGACGAGGGCGCTCCATTTGAACCACGGGAACTAGTGACATATACCTTATCCGTGCGATTTTCATTTGAAGCTAGAACGGACTCATCGTTCCTGGATTGCAGGTTCGATTGATCTTGCGGATTGCTGTTGACTGGAGGAGTTCGATATATGTTCGAATGACGTGGAAGGCCCACGAGAAAGTTTTCGAATCGTCTCGGTACTGCGCCCCGAGTTTCTCTATTGGAGCGGCGTAACTGCGGTTCCATATAAACTGTCGTTTGACATTCGAAGGACCAAAATGTAAGAATCGTCCTGGTCGTTGACGGCCGGGTGTTTTCTCACCTGTCGAGAGAAGGACCAAAATGTAAGAATCGTCCTGGTCGTTGACGGCCGGGTGTTTTCTCACCTGTCGAGAGAAGGACCAAAATGTAAGAATCGTCCTGGTCGTTGACGGCCGGGTGTTTTCTCACCTGTCGAGAGAAGGACCAAAATGTAAGAATCGTCCTGGTCGTTGACGGCCGGGTGTTTTCTCACCTGTCGAGAGAAGGACCAAAATGTAAGAATCGTCCTGGTCGTTGACGGCCGGGTGTTTTCTCACCTGTCGAGAGAAGGACCAAAATGTAAGAATCGTCCTGGTCGTTGACGGCCGGGTGTTTTCTCACCTGTCGAGAGAAGTTCGTGTCCAGGCTATTTGTTGGGGAAGGAATTTCAGTTTATTCGCCAGGGGTTCCCTCAGCAAAAGATGACACGAACTGACCACAAACTTGGAGACAAGTCAACTAACTTTTTCACTCTGAACAAATTTTTTACTATTTTCTCACACCCGCTTGCCCCGATCGTTCTTTTGTTGCTATGGTTACGCTCAGGGGTGGCCTGACGGTTGACGGCGCGACGACTGCGATACCCGAGTAGAAAAGTTCGGACTGGCAGTGTTAGCAACAGTGGGGCTGGGAAAAAACGATTTAAACGTTTAATTGAAGATGGAGTAGACCCTGTAGAAGCTCGCCGTCTGGCTATCTTCCCTTTGCTCACTCCCAATTCGGACGCAGCTAAGCATTTTCGATACAGTGAGTCAAACAGTAGTGGGGACAATCCGCGACCAAAGAAGCAGGGTCGTCCCACGGGATCGAAACTGCCTTTGGATTTCAAATCAGTACAGCATCGTTTAGATATAATTAGAGCAGAGTCCTCTGGACATTCCAAAGGTACAGAGGGTAGAATCAAACCATCGTATAGGGATGTAGTTAATAGCGTGAAGATAGGCATACTTCCAAAAGGCTACCCAACTTCTGAATTAACAATGCAGCAGCTGATTGCAACACAAAAAGCTGTTCTTAACAAAGTGGTCCATCAACGTAAAGAAAAGATTAAACCTAAATTTGGCAATTGTTTGTTCAGACCAGGTTACCTTATTCTTATTTGTAAAAACCAGGAAACATCTGACTGGATAAAAAGAATAATTTCTAGTATAATTCCTTGGGTGGGGGCAGAGCTTATTGCGGTTGATGAAAATCAAATCCCGCAACCAGAGACATTAATTGGGTTCTTTCCCATGAGTGCAGAAGGTAGCAACGAAGACATTCTTGCTCTTCTAGAAGCTCAAAATGAAGGTTTAGTAATTGATAGCTGGAAGATATTTATGTGGAAAATAATAAATAAACGTCATGTGGAACTCACCTTTAGCGTTGATGGGATATCAATGAGATCGTTAGTGGAATGTGAATTTGTCTTGGATTACAAATTTGGGAATGCTCCTATTAGGAAGAAAGTCCCGAACATAAATCGATCGGAAAAAATGGAAGTTGAACGAAGTACAGAGGCCAACAGTGTTGATAAAAGGACCTGTGGTACTGGTGACGATGTGGGTAAAAACATCACCAACCTGAATGTCCCAGGACCAAGTGTAACAGTATTACCACAAGGACCTGTAATAAAACTGGAGACGATAAAGTGGGTGGAAACACAACTAATCACAATGTCCCAGGTCTGATCGGTGTCCAATATACTGAACGGCTTCTTTCAAAACCTGAGTAAAGGGTGATACGGTCAAAATTTGGTCAATATCAACTTGACGTATTTCTTTCAATTTTGCATTTAAAAAACCTGAACACCCCTCATTTTGAAGGTGTGTGTGTGTAGAATGTTGGTCCTATTTTGATTTTGGAATTCACTCTTCAGTTGTCAAAATGCCGTCCAAGCAAGAAGAGCAGCGTATCAAAATTTTGCTCGCGCATCGCGAAAATCCGAGCTACTCGCACGCAAAGTTGGCAAAATCGCTAAAAGTTGCCAAATCAACCGTTACAAATGTAATTAAAGTGTTTGGGGAACGTTTGTCGACAGCCAGGAAGTCTGGATCGGGGGGAAATCGAAAACCGGAAGCCGCTGAGACGACAAAGAGAGTTGCCGGTAGTTTCAAGCGAAACCCTAACCTCTCTCTCCGAGATGCCGCAAATAAGCTGGGTGTATCGTCTACAACCGTGCATCGAGCCAAAAAACGAGCCGGACTATCGACTTACAAGATAGGTAGTGACTCCAAATCGCGATGATAAACAAAATACGACGGCCAAAGCGCGATCCCGGAGGCTGTACACGACGATGCTGACGAAGTTTGACTGCGTGGTAATGGACGACGAAACCTACGTCAAAGCCGAAAACAAGCAGCTTCCGGGACAGGAGTTTTATACGGCAAAAGGAAGGGGAAAGGTAGCAGATGTTTTCAAGCACATGAAACTGTCAAAGTTCGCAAAGAAATATCTGGTTTGGCAAGCCATCTGTACCTGTGGCTTGAAAAGCAGCATTTTCATAGCTTCCGGGACTGTCAACCAAGAAATTTACGTGAAAGAGTGTTTGAATAAACGTCTGCTGCCTTTCCTGAAGAAACACGGTTGTTCCGTACTGTTTTGGCCGGATTTGGCATCTTGCCATTACGGTAAAAAGGCCATGGAGTGGTACGCCGCCAACAACGTGCAGGTGGTTCCCAAGGACAAGAACCCTCCCAACACGCCAGAGCTCCGCCCAATTGAGAAATACTGGGCTATTGTCAAGCGGAACCTAAAGAAGACCAAAAAAACTGCTAAGGGCGAGCAGCAGTTCAAGGCAAACTGGCTTTCTGCGGCGAAGAAGGTGGACAAGGTGGCTGTACAAAATCTGATGGCAGGGATCAAGCGTAAGGCCCGGCAATTCGGATTTGGAAAAGTGGAAGCCTAACTGAATATTTTTCCTGAATTTTATACTGATTGAACTTGAAAAAGAAATTTAATTTGATTTTTTAAATAAACGATTTCACTGATTTACACGCGTTTTCCCTTGACCAAATTTTGACCGTATCACCCTTTACTTTGCAAGAGATTTATTCAAAGCAAACTGGATATTGCTTTCATCCAGGAGACATGGTCAAAAAATGGAAACATTTTAGGCATTATTACTAAATCATGTAAGTTTATATATGATCAAACACAGCAGTTTCCAAGATCTGCTATTCTTGTAAATGGGAATGTAAAAATGTTACCTATTACAGAATTTATTAAACGGGATATTGTAGCGGCATCTATTGAAATTCCTACCACGCGTGGAAAAACGGAAATCTACGTGGCATCTGCATATTTTCCTGGGGACGTAGACGATGTGCCTCCCCCAGAAGTATCAGCATTCGTTACATTTTGTAAATCACAAAATAAAGCATTCATCATCGGTTGTGATGCGAACGCGCATCATACAATATGGAACAGCACAGATATCAACACAAGAGGTGAGTGGCTACTAGAATATATAACAAAAAATAACGTAAATATTTGTAATGAGGGTACTGATTTTACTTTCATGAATTCCATAAGACAAGAAGTTCTGGATTTAACACTCTGTAGTAACACACTCTCAGAAAAAATACATAATTGGCATGTATCAGATGAAGTATCCCTATCTGATCATAAACATATATTATTTGAATATAAAGTGAATGACATTATCAAAGAAACTTTCAGAGATCCCAGGAAAACAAACTGGGATCTCTATTATTCTAATCTAGCAGCGGGGGGTAGTTTCCTGGAAAAAAGAATTAACACTCATAAAGAACTAGAAAATACCTCTCTTCAAGTAACAAACAGAATAATGCATGCTTTTAACAACAGTTGCCCAATCAAGGTAAGATCAACGGATAGAGATGTTCCATGGTGGAATACTAGATTGGAAAATCTAAGGAAACAGGCTCGGAAAATGTTTAATCAAGCAAAGCGTACTTTACAGTGGGATACATATATTGCCGTTCTACGCATAAGAGTCCCACGGTGCATAAGGATTGCATAGAACATGGGACAGTTATGCGTATAACGGCAGTATAGGAAAGCTCTTACTTTGTATAATGAAGAGATTAGAAAATCAAAACGCAAAAACTGGAGGCACACTTGTGAAAATATTGAAAGTACTCCAGTGGTTGCTAGATTGCAAAAAGTCTTGTCAAACGATCATTCTAATTGTCTAGGTACTCTTAAAAAGGATAACGGGAGTTTTACTTCTAATGCATCAGAAACTTTGAATTTGATGATGCAAGTACACTTTCCAGCATCTCTACCGGTCTTGAATGAAAATACGACTTCCTTAGATACACTGACTGGATCAGAGAAGACCAGCACAGAAGTTTTCGAGGATCCTCATGATATTGCAAAAATAACTGGGCAAAAAATGGCCAGGCAGAACACGCAAGATCTAGCAAGTCGTATTTTTACTCAAGCAAGAGTTGAATGGGCTGTAAATTCGTTTCAACCATTTAAATCTCCAGGAAATGATGAAATCCGTCCTGTGATGATTCAAAAAAGCAAAGGAATGCTAATTCCTTGCTTAACTGAAATGTTCAGGGCCAGTTTGCGGTTGAACCACATTCCAAAACTCTGGCGACAAATTCGTGTGGTTTTTATTCCTTAAGCTAACATAAAGGATAAAAAGAGTCCAAAATCCTTTAGACCTATTAGCCTTTCGTCATGTATGTTGAAATTAATAGAGAAATTGATTGATGATTATATTAAGTCAAAGAATTTAGATTCGATCCCATTAAATAAACAGCAATTTGCATACCAACACGGAAAATCCACAATAACAGCACTTCATACACTAGTGACAAAAATTGAAAAAACCTTTGAAGCCAAAGAGATTATGTTAGCTGCGTTTCTAGATATTGAAGGAGCATTTGACAATGCATCTCATTATTCAATGAGGAACGTTATGATAAAACGAAATTTTGATAAAACGTAGATTGGATTTTTGAAATGTTGCAAAAACGAGAAATAACATGCAGTCATGGTAGTTCAACGGTCACGGTAAGGACCGTGAAGGGTTGCCCACAAGGAGGGGTTCTTTCACCTTTGCTGTGGTCACTGGTAGCCGGCGAACTACTATTACATCTTGAAGCGCAAGGATTTGAAATAATTGGTTTTGCCGATGACATAGTAATCATTATTCGTGGGAAATATGAACACGTTATCAGAGATAGGTTACAATATGCTCTTAATTTAACGATGGCGTGGTGTAAAGATGAGGGGTTGTCCATAAACCCTCATAAGACTACTATTATACCATTTACACATAAAAGGAAAATAAAAATACCAGATTTGCACTTGGAGGATACTAAATTAGTCCTTTCTCAAAAGGTTAAGTATCTGGGAGTAATTCTTGATAGCAAACTAAATTGGAACTTACATTTGAATAAAATAATAAGCAAGGCTACAAATGCCCTATGGATAAGCAAAAAAACATTTGGTAATAAATGGGGACTGAAACCTAAAATGATCGATTGGATCTATAAGGCTATAATAAGACCCAGAATAACATATGCATCATTAGTTTGGTGGCCAAAAACAAAAGTTAAATATGCTAAAAAAAACTCGAAAAGTTGCAAAGACTTGCTACAATTTCCATCACAGGAGCAATTCGTAGCACGCCCTCTAAAGCGCTAGATACAATGCTAAATCTGCTTCCCTTACATATATTTGTGCAGTTAGAAGCCGAAAGAAACGCACTAAGGTTAAAAAGAACAAAACAGTTTTTTGATGGGGACCTTAGGGGTCATCTCAGTATTTTGAAGGAATTTAAAATTAATTCTTTATTAACTCATGAAGACTGGATGAATAGACAGTATAACTTTGAAAGACTATTCAACGTCACTGAACCTAGTCGCACTGAATGGGAATCAGGGGGACCTAGTATTCAACCAGGATCAGTAATTTTCTACACTGATGGCTCCAAATTAAACAACAGAGTTGGCGCTGGGGTAACGGGTCCTGGTGTCAACATGTCAATATCTATGGGTAAGTGGCCAACCGTATTTCAAGCCGAAATACAGGCAATTATTGAATGTGCTACGGTTTGTTTACGTCGTAATTACAAACATACAAATGTATATATTTTCTCTGACAGTCAAGCTTCCCTAAAAGCATTGAGGTCAGTTACATGTTGTTCTAAACTGGTTTGGGAATGCATTCAATTACTACAGCAGGTGGCTAAAAATAGTACAGTTAACTTATTTTGGGTACCTGGGCACTGTGGGGTTGAAGGTAATGAAAAGGCAGATTTATTAGCAAGATTGGGATCATCAAAACCATTCCTAGGTCCAGAACCATTTTGTGGGGCCTCAGAATGTACCCTCAAAATGGTACTAAAAAACTGGGAAAAATCGATGATAGATAACATTTGGAAAAACACTAAAATAGCTCGACAGTCCAAAAGATTTATATCACCTAATAAAGGAGCAACTCAAAGACTTCTTAGTCTCTCCAAAAAAGATCTATGTACTTTTAGTGGCCTAGTTACGGGCCACTGTTCAAGTAAATATTATTTAAAACAGCTAGGCAAATTGGAAGATGACAAGTGTCGATTCTGCAACCTAGAGAGTGAAAACTCGGAACATTTACTATGTAACTCTGCAGCACTTTTTCATAAAAGGAAAACTTTTTTCGATAAGGGTTTAATACAGCCCTCAGAAGTATGGATGACTCATCCCAGTAAGGCAATAAAGTTCATTCGTTCTATAATACCTTACTGGGACAATGCCTATAGTCAGCTAGTGGAAATCACTCAAACAAATAGTGATACAACACCCTGATGTGGCATACATTAAACCGGGGCCCGCCACAATAGATCAAATAACTGGTCGCAGTGGAAAAATGTACCCAACAAAGGAAAAAAAAAAAGCAAAACGATGACGAACTGTTTACCGAATGTTCAGCTGTTGAGATTTCGGTAAAATAATCTTAGTGTGTAGACAGTTTTTTTTGGGATTCTTGACCCCCCCCCCTCCTCCTGCGTAGACAATTGTCCATGCAAATTTTTTTTAACATTTTTATGGGTCGTGGATAATTGTCAACCCCCCCCCCTAAACTGTCTACGTAGTTTATGAACAACCCCTTAGTTAAAGGTGATTTTCTTCGAAAAAAATGCTTTTTTAAATTGTCAATATCTCTACATGGAGTAAACGGAGTTTTTACGAGAAATGAATGTATAGAAAGATATTTAAAGAAAGCCGATTTTCTAGGGGCCGCCCTAACCTGCTTGTTTAAAATAATCAAATTACTCATGAACCATACTTAGGTATCGAAAATTTTAAAACACAATGTTTAAGCTCCTTGGGGCAACGAGGAGCAAACTGGGATCGAAAAGATCGAAAATAAGCATGTGGCCTTTTCGAACTGCTTCAGTATGCATTTAAAAAAAGAATATTGGTTTTTCAAACCACTTAACATATGTCATAAACATTTTTTCACAGTTTAGAGCAACCTAGGCAAGTAACATGGACATAATACTTTTTATTTTCTTTCAAAATGAATCCTGTTGTGATAAAATCGGGTCGAAATTGAATGTGTAACAGGTATTTTAAGTGAGCCTTATATTATTAGATTTTGACCATACACTGAAAATAAAATTAAGTCTATACAACAAATGCGTTCGTTTGTGCCAAGAATTCATTCGTTGTTTTCTGCAACGAAATAAATTCGTTTTGTATACGAAGCTAGTTTCGTTATAATCCCCAAAATAATTTTGTTCGTTACATTCTTATATTTTACGAAACATTGCCACACTCGCGACGAATGTTTCAGATAATAAATACAAATCATTCGTGTGTACAAAACAATGTTCTTACATTGTATGAAAAAGAATACTAAGGGAAGCGAAAATTTCGTTCAAATGAAAAATGGTCGCTTCAGTTTAACCAAAATTAAACCTTTATTGAAAATCTTTCACTCAGCAACTCTCTCCATCCAGCAGATAGCTGAAATTCAAAGGCTTGTAGAAATCGGACTGCTTGTCTGGCTTCTGGTGCGATGGTAGTATTGTAGAGACTCCACACGCATTAGGAGCTCCTGAAACCTTGTGAGATCCAAAGCCCATATTCTACGGCAGCATGTCACCGATGAAGAGAACCCGCTTCGATTGAGTCGCTTTGAACCTCTCCTGAGGATTATCAAGCTCGAAATTTTTATTTTCGATGTGGTGATCATAGGGAATTATGTAGTAGGTAGCACCCACTATCAGGATGCTGTCCAGATTTCGATCCGGGTGCGCCAGCCACTGTGAATCGGCTTCATTCTCGTCGAAGAAATGATCGTCAGGCTGTGGAACAGATAGAAAGAGATAAGTTCAATCAACAATTGTCACTCTTGTAAATTTCTCACCGAACTCACCTGACCGTGAACTGCTTGTTTCAGAGATGGACCTTAAACAACTCGGTGGCAGCGCAGTAGACTTAAACTGTCATGTTGTTCCAGCTCAAATAGCGAACCATGTTTGTTTACTCCTGACTCGTGAACATTCATACTACGAACGAAAGCAATAGTGCCTCAACGAATAGATTCGTAATGTTCACGAATAACGTGCTTATAAAGCTAGTTTAAACGAATGATTTTCATAGGTGAACACTTGGTTTCTTAGTATGCTCGAATGCACACATGATGTTTGTAGGCAGTGTTGACATCCATACGAAGGACTGTTCTTGTATTGCACAAATTATGTTGGGGCATTGTATATGTTGAAATGCAATACGAATGATTCACACAAATAACGAAACAATTGTTATATCTGGGGGCGACCCCGGCGTAGTGGTTAACATCCATACCTCTCACGCCAAAGTCACGAGTTCAAATCTCACCCCCGGACAAGTCACGAATGACCCAAGAGTGTTAAAGTGACTATAATAAAAAAAAAAAAAAAAATTGTTATATTTACGAAAATCATTTTTACGAAATGAGCGTGAAGGAAATAAAGAAATAATGTTTTCAGTGTACCCAGGTAAACATGCTGTATCATCGATTTTAATTCTGCCATAGTTTGATTAATTGTTGTTAGATATAATACATGAACCTTCAGATGCATTCCTTCACTACCCTGATTACACCGTCGGGACCGGGATAGACTTCAACTATTCGGACTAGAGGCCACTCGATTGCTGCGGAAACATCCTCCTTCAGGTCCACCATTTGACCCACTGTTTTAGCAGGGTTGCTTGAGGTCACAGAACAGAAGGGGAAGTCCAAACAAATCGGTGAATCAAAAAGTGGTTCGTTTTTCTGCTCAACAAGCGATGTGTTGTGGTAGCGTTCCACACGGGCTTTCTATGTGCACTCACACTATCATAGCATGCTGCCTATCTTAGCTACAGGTAGAATATGCCTTCTACCGCTAGGTGCGCTAGTGTTCGCAAATGACAAGTGGAGCCACTTTCTGATCCGAAGTTCCACTCCTGTGTTGAGGTTGTGCAGCAGTGAGATGTACTCTCGCCTCCATAGCTTCTAATACTGCTGTACTAGTTGTTGCAGCTCCTGGTAGTGCTGTACCGGCTCGTAGGAACCTCCGTGTAGCCCGGATCGGGAATCGCCAACAACAATGAACCAGTCAAGCAACCCTGCTAAAGGTGGGTCAAATGGTGGTCCTGAAGGAGGATGAATCCCCAACCATCGAGTGGCCTCCAGCCCGACAGTCTTTAGTGGGAATGACATTGATGAAGACTGAAAATTGTAGTCGAAGTACGTATCTGTTATGGATACCAAAATTACTTACTTACTTATCCTGGTCCGACACAATGTTACGCCAATTCACTCGATCCGTGGCTGCTTGTCTCCAATTTATTGACTGTCCCACACTTCCAAAATCCTGCTCGCTGTGCTCTTCTTCGTCTTGTACCGGCTGGATTCGAGGCAAACACCATTTTTGCGGGATTGTTGTCCGGCATTCTTACAACGTGTCCCGTCCATCGTACCCGTCCAACTTTCGCAACTTTCTGGATACAGGGTTCGCCATAGAGATACGCCAGCTCGTGGTTCATCCTTCGCCTCCAAATACCGTTCTCAGATACCCCACCAAAGATGGTCCTAAGCACTCGTCGTTCGAGAACACCCAGTGCTTGCAGGTCTTCCTCAAGCATCGTCCACGTCTCGTGCCCGTACAGAACTACCGGTCTTATCAGCGTCTTGTACATGGTACATTTAGTACGCAGGTGAAGTTTACCCGACCTCAGGGTCTTGTGGAGTCCGTAGTAAGCACGACTTCCGGCATTTATGCTTCTATGAATTTTTCTGCTGCAGTTGTTATCCGACGTCACCAATGATCCGAGGTACACGAATTCATCCACCACCTCGAACTCATCTCCGTCGATAGTCGGGCCCTATCCCGCTCGGTTCCTCCAGCTAACAGATACTCTGTCTTCGACGTATTCACCTTTAATCCAACCTTCTCTGCTTCACGTTTCAGCCTGGTGTATTGCTCCGCCACGGCCCGAAACGTTCTTCCGAAAATGTTCACGTCATCAGCGAAGCAGATGAACTGGCTGGACTTATTGAAGATGTTAAAGCCCGCACGTTTCATAACACCTTCTAGCGCAATGTTGAACAGGAGGCAGGAAAGACCATCGCCTTGTCGAAGTCCTTTGCGTGTTTCAGACGGGTACGATAACGCACCCAATATCTTCACGCAGCACTGTACACCATCCATGGTAGCCCTGATCAGTCTGGTCAGCTTCCCGGGAAAACCGTTGTCGTCCATAATCTTCCATAGCTCTTCACGGTCAATAGTATCATAAGCGGCCTTTTTTTATATATGGTTTTATTTTTCCAGGCTCATTTGCCGTAGCTTTGCGGAGCCGATATTCATCGTTTGGGCGAGGGGGACGACTCTATCTACGATGCAGGAAATATTGTGTTTTGCTGTGGCTAGCTGCGCGTACGCTGGGTAGATAGATAGAAGATTTATCACGATTTTGAAGATTTCCTGCAAAAAGATGATGCGCGATGCAAGTAGATGCGAGAAATGAAAGAAGATTTTTCGAAGATTGATTCGCTAGTGTGAGATTTATTGAGCATCTAAAATTGAGATTTAGATGTGTCGCCCCCCTCGCGTTTGGGTTACAAAATTACTTAAAACTAACGTTAGTAAAGCGGGGGCCGCTAACTCGCGGCTATCTCGAGGTTAGGGGTAACAAATTGTAACAAACGGGTGGCAGGGTAGGGATTGAGAACACAAGGTTTTTTAGAGCAATGTGCTCTTGATCTAGAACTAAGCGACTTACTGGAGAAAAAGACAAACATGGGGATACACCGATGGAGACCTAGCAACTTGAGAGAACACAAGATGACACTAACTACTAAATCCTCAGATCGATTCGTTTTAAAAACACATAAATTAAATTAAAATATTCGAGATCTCGGCTCGCCAAGATGTCTCTAACGGGCCGCATAGGTTGTTTTCCTCGGGCCCTGAGGGATGCGGATAACTCGGATCTAGCAACACAATGGAGGGTGCATGACCAAAGTACGTGGTCGATATCGTGATAGCCACTACCACAAGCGCACAAATTGCTGCCTGCGAGCCCGATTCGGAAGAAATGCGAGTCTAACGAGTAGTGATTGGACATGAGCCTTGACATGACACGTATAAAGTCACGGCTCATGTCCAATCCTTTGAACCATGGCTTGTTCGATACCTGTGGGAGAATAGAATGTAACCATCTTCCCAGATCACTCTCATTCCATTTTTGTTGCCAGTTGGTGAGGACGTGCTGACGGGTAATTGAGAAAAATTCCGCAAAGGCGATTTGTCGATCAAAAATATCGCCTTCTTTAGCGCCCACCTTAGCTAGCGAATCCGCTTTCTCATTACCCGGAATTGAGCAATGAGATGGGACCCAAACTAATGTGATAGTATAGGAGCAGTTAGATAAAGTACTCAATTTTGCTCGGATTTCGGTCAGGAAATACGAGGAGTGCTTCATCGGCCTCATTGATCGAATAGCCTCCAACGAGCTAAGGCTATCAGTAAAAATAAAATAGTGATCAGATGGTAGTGAGGCAATTTGCTCTACTGCGTAAAATATGGCTGCTAGTTCCGCAACGTATACGGAACAGGGTTTTTGCAGTTGATATGAGGCGCTATGAAATTCGTTGAATACTCCAAATCCAGTAGAAGCGTTTATAGTTGACCCATCTGTGAAAAAACTCTTATTGTTACTAACATGGTGGTACTTGTTTGCAAAAATTAAGGGAACAACCATCGACCGATGGTGATCTGGTATTCCACGGATTGCTTGCAACATGGTCAGATCAAAATTTACAGAGGAACTATAAAAATCTTGGAGGCAAACACCAGAGGAATTGAATGAAGAAGGGCCAATCTCCAGGGCAATGTACTCGTAATAGAGACTCATGAATCTTGTTTGATGATTTCTGTCGAGCAGCTTCTCAAAGTTTTCTATTACCAATGGGTTCATTACTTCACAACGGATAAGAAACCGGATGGACAGTTCCGCGAAACGATCTGTCAGTGGGAGAACACCCGCGAGTACTTCGAGGCTCATCGTATGCGTCGAGTGCATACAGCCAAGCGCGATTCGGAGGCAACGGTATTGAACCCGTTGCAGCTTCAAGATATGTGTTTTCGCCGCGGATTGAAAGCAGAAGCTACCGTACTCTAGAACCGACAAGATGGTTGTTCGATATAACCTAATCAGATCTTCCGGGTGTGCTCCCCACCAAGTTCCGGTAATTGTACGACGAAAATTGATTCTTTGTTGGCATTTTTGTTTCACATACGCAATATGTTTTCCCCACGTGCTTTTGGAATCGAACCAGACACCTAAATACTTGAAAGATATAGGGAAGAGCGCTACTTCGTCTTTATCGCCCATTTCCGTTCTATCGAGCAGAAATCATCAATAATATCAATGATTTCACAATGCACAACAATACAACAATAATACGTTTGTTCCGATGCGTTAGTTCATTAGCTACAACATAAATCCTATTAGAGCGCCTTGTATGCATATTTACGCTCATTGTTCTCAAAACAAAAGAAGCGCTCCTAGCGCATCCCCTTTTTCTGCGTTTATCCGTAGGACGAAGAAAATCTAATGGCGTTTCAATGCGTTTGGACGGAATTGAAACGCGTAGGACGAATTTAGAAGCAAGAAGCAGTGTTAGATTTATAATAATATCTCAACGTTGTTTGACTCTTTATCAAATCCAACGGTACGTATGGAAAGGTGGATAAATTTAGAAGTTATCTTTGATGAGAACATTCCGTGTTTTGTTCAAACCCTTTCCAAAAAGCGTGGTAAAGTGCATGATGTCCTTAGTAGGACGGAAATTAGATCAAAAACCCTACTTTGAGTGATTGTTCTACCCTTTAGTTGAAGCTGTAACTGTGCTGGATGATGCTTCCTAGAAAAAACAACCAACTCAGTTTTCTCCGGAGAGAATTCGATACCCAGCTTCATAGCCCAAGAAGACAAATTGTCTAAGGTATCTTGCAATGGTCCTTGCAGGTCCGGTGCACTTGGCCCTATAACGGACACAACCCCGTCATCTGCAAGCTGCCTTAGCGAGCAATTTTCATCAAGACAACCATCAATGTCTTTTACATAAAAATTATAAAGAAGGGGGCTTAAACATGAGCCCTGGGGGAGACCCATGTAACTAATTCGTGAAGTTGTCGAGTTTCCATGAGAGAAGCTCATATATTTCTCAGACAACAAGTTGCTCAAATAGTTGTTCATAATTGGTGAAAGCCCACTACCGTGGAGTTTATCCGAAAGGACATCGATACAAACAGAATCAAAAGCCCCCTTAATGTCCAAGAAAACTGAACCCATTTGCTGTTTTTGCGCATAGGCCAGTTGAATTTCAGTTGAAAGCAATGCAAGACAGTCGCTCGTTCTTTTGCCTCTCCGAAATCCAAATTGCGTATCTGAAAGTAAACCATTTGTCTAGACGAAAAAGAATCATTTTCTCCAACAATTTCCGTATACAGGACAGCATCGCGATGGGACGGTACGAGTTATAATCCGACGTGGGTTTACCGGGTTTTAGAATGGCGATAACTCTTACTTGCCTCCAGTCGTCCGGAACAATGTTGTGCTCCAGAAATTGATTGAATAAGTTCAACAAGCGTCTTTTCGTGACGTCTGGGAGATTTTTAAGCAAGTTGAACT